CCCCTCGGAGTGCACAAGATACACCGAGACCACCAGGAAAAGGGGGGGGGGCAGGGTATGGACCTCGCTGCAGAAGCAGCGTCCAGGAGCAGAAACACCATCAGGGAGATCCATGAGACCGATCCAGCACCTCACGAACATGTCGTCGGCAAGAGTCACATTGGCAGGGGCCCAGAGCGAACGCCACCCTCTGCGGATGCACCAGCTGCTGGCCTGGTCGATGTCGTCCTTAGCAGCCAACCGATGCTCTTGAGCGAGGACGATGTGTGTGCGGAGGAGGCTTCTAACAGACCCTTGAGAGTGCCCCATGAGTTGGCGTTGACGGTGTGAACCTTGAGGGCCACCTGATTGAAGTCCTGAGAAGGAGGGGCCCGTCGGGGGGCAGGGAAGGGTCCGCGCCCTCCTGCGAGAAAACAGAGCAACAACGAAAGAGGGGAAAGCCAGAAAAAAATGAAATGCCCCCAGGTAGAGCGTCATCTAGAGCGCCCTTAGACCCTCCAGCGCTCTGGGCCGAAGTCGCTGAGCACGACTCCGCCTGTCTAGGCGCTTCTGAATGTTGCCACACCTGTAAACCAGCAGGAAGAGCGATCTGCAACCGCTCCTTGACACCTCCAAGAGGCCACAAAGAAGCTTCCAAAAGAGCTCGCAACGACTGGACTGTACGTGCTCCGGACGTGCACCCCGCGAAGCGAGGGATCCACGTCCGGAAGTGACGTGCTGAGCGGCAGCATTTTCTGCGGAAGCGATGATGCAACGTGTCCTTTGTATCCAATATTTGTATAATTTCTATATCTTGAATGTGCTATATTATTATATATTCCCCCATTGCCCCCGCTTGAAGTCGCGCCATTCCAGGGTGCCACATATGACGGCCACCATCTTGGGCTCTCTCAAAGCTTGTAAAACAAAAAACCAAGAAATTCACGATTTGGGCGTCTGGGGGGCCAATTAAAATGGCCACGGGCATTCGGGGCCTGCCAAGCTGGCCCTGCCCCTCCAACACTGATGAGCCCCTCAAGACGGCCACGGGACCCCCAAGGTCGCCCGCACCAGCGCCCCCCAAAACCAAAAAGAACATTGTTTTCCCGGCGGTTGCTGACGTATTCACGCGTTCTCGCCTGCTTCGACTTTCAAGACCTCACGACGGCCAAAGCAGCGACCAAAATTGCCCCAAGAAAACCCGATAACCCCCGGAACGGCGCCCGAAACAGCCCCAGAAGGACCAAAAAGTATCCCCAAGATGGTTCAGCAGGCCCCCAAAACGGCCCAAGAGGACCCCGAGAACGCCCCAAGGCGGCCGCGAGAAGCCCCCAAGACGGCGTCCAGAGGGGCCAGACGGCCTCCAAACCCGCCAAGAAGGCCCCCAAGCGGACCGGCATAGCCCCACGAGGCCCCGAAGAGTCCGAAATCCCTCCCAGAGGTCAAGAGATTCGCTGCAGCGCCCGAAAACGCCCGTGCGCATCGCAAGGAAAGCTTCACCAAACGGCTCCGCAAGCTGGTCGTCCGTGCGCGTGCGACGCTTGTACGCGCGGTCCTCCGACAAAACGTTGAGATGCTGCACGTAGATCGAGATCCTGCACCTAGCTCGACGCGCGCGACGAAATCCAACGCACCTCTTCTTCTGAGGTCGTTTGCTTCGCTGCATAACTGGGCACGGGGTGGTCCCCAAGACGGCTCTCCAAGGATCCATGCGCCCCTGGCGCGCCCGAAGACGCCCTGGGGCGCTCCCGAAAGGCAGCCAAGTCTCATGAAATCGACGCCCACAAACAAAAAGGCGAACATCTTCCAAAACGCCCAAACGCCCGCGGTCTCCGCAATCCGCACCAAGCTTATAGGAGGCGCACGATGCCCTTACTGCGCGCGCTCCGACGAATAGGCCATACCAAGCAACGCCCACATTCCACTGTCTTTTTCCGTGCGTTTTTGCGGGGTTGCGGTCTACGGGGGCTTTCGTGCGCTCATTCATGACACGCGCATCGGCCTGGCAGCAGGCGCGCGTGGACTCCGCGGACAACGCGGGCACGGCACGCCGCGAAGTCCCCGATTCAAGACGAGGTCTGGACACAGGCCAGGACGGCGTGAAGGGCGGCGCGGACCAGTGGCCACTCCAGCGGCCACGGGTGAACAAGTCTCTTGAACCCACGTCTGGAGGTGACGTGCTGTGCGGCTGCGTATTCCGCGGATGCTGTGATGCAGCGTATCCCATGATACAAATGATGGCAGAATTGCTACATCGTTCATTATGTTACATTATGATGCCTCCCCCCTAACCCCCCTGTCACCTTCCAAAATGACCCCCCCATCTTCGGCTTTCAAGACCTGTCAAAAACTATGGGAGATCGGCGATTTGGGCTTCTGGGGGGCCCAAGCGAGCCGCAAAATGGCCCGGGGCGGCCCCAGGCCCGGCCAAGCCGGCCCCGACACGGCCTAAGATTGCCCCTCCAAGGCCTCCAGGGACCAAAAACCTTGACCTTGCTTTGTATACAATCAATAGCGTTCTCGCCAGCAAAAACCCACGACGGCCAAAGCAGCGATCAAAACTGACCCAAGAAGGCACAGCCCCCAACGCGGCCAGGGAAGCTCTCAACACGGCCCAAGAGGACCCCGAGAACGCCCCAGCAGGGCAGCCGCGAGTAGCCCCAAAACGGCTTCCGGAGGAGTCGGACGGGCTCCAAACCCGCAAACAACGCCCCCAAACAGACCGACATGGCCCCACGAGGCCCCCGAGTCTGCAAAAGCCCAGAACCCTCACCAGGGCGCCCGAAAACGCTCTTGCGCATCGTACAGAAACTTCATCGAACAGCTCCGCAAGCTGGTCCTCCGTGCATGTGCGACGCTTGTCCGGAAGGGGGGGAAGTATCAATGTCGCGCTGCCGCGGGGTGCTCGAGGGCGCCATCGGCGTGATACTCCCTCAGACGTTGCCCCAAAAGACGACGCATATCGACAGTGACACGCTGGCTGGGCTCCCGCGGCGGCGTGACATTGATATCTTCTCCCTCCGGGCTTGTACAGGCGAGCCGACCAAACGTTGAGATGCTTTACCTGGCTCGACGCTCGCGGCGAGGTCCAACGCACCTCTTCCTCTGAGGTCGTTCGCTTCGCTGCATAGCTGGGCACAGAGTGGTCCCCGAGACGGCTCTCCAAGAATCCATGCGACCCTAGCGCCCCCGAGGACGGCCTGGGGCGCTCCCCAAAGGCAGCCAAGTCTCATGAAGTCGAGGCCCATGAAAAAAAAACGAACATCTTCCAAAACGCCCCAAACGCCCGCAATCTCCGCCATCTGGACGTGCACCCCGCGAAGCGAAGGGAATCACTGGTTGTCCCAAGGTTGTTGTCGGAACTCGGCATTTGCTGCTGCTCGGCGGCCACCCGAAGGCTCAAGGCAGCCCCAGAAGGCCCCCAAACATCGCCCGGATGACCTCCAAGATGGCCCCACGACGGCCCAAGAGGCTTCCAAGACGCACAGTATGGCCTCCCAAACGACTCTGAAACACCCAAAAGAGGATCCCACGGCGGCCCACAAAGGCTCCCTAGACGGCTTCTGACAGGCGAGGCACGCCGTAGGATGGCCACAGAGCCCCCCCCCCCAGGGGGCCTCCAAGATGGCCCTGGAGCGCCCCAACAGGGCCCCAAGTCGGTCCAAAGAGGCCCCCAAGATGGCGCCCGATGGCGTCAGACAGAACAGGGACGTTTTAAGGCGGTCAAAGAGCCTGCCAAGGAGCCTCGAAAGGCCCCCCAAAGGCCCAAGGAGCCCCTACTTGAGGCCTCCGAGATGCCCCCACGAGGCTCCTGAGAGGCACCGAAGGTGCCCCAAGAGGCTCCCAAGAGGCCTCTTCCTCCTCCTCCTTCTCATCCTCCTCGTTCCTCCCTCTCCGCCTCTTCTTTCTCCCCCACGTGTTCCCCGGAGGTGTTCCACAACAGCTGGGTGAACACGTAGTCCGATAGCTTGGCCGAGCTCTGGGCGCAACGTTCGGCCACATAGGCACTTCCAAAAGCGGGGAGCGGCGGTGTTTCGCCGAAGGCGGATTCGCTATCTTTGGATACGTTGGTACTTCTTACATGAAGGGGCCTAGGGACACTCAAGTAACAGACACAAATCCCAGCCCCCCATATTTTCAAAAAAAAAATTGAAATTCACCTTCCCCACAACCTTCGAGAAGTTCAATACTTTCCACGGGTTCGACGATCACTTTCGCATGTGTGATTCCCCTTCGTGATTTCAGCTCGGCGGTAGATGACAGGCTCAGGGGCGCTCATACTGCAAGCCGGCTCTCCTCGTAGTGAAACGGGATGCTTACAGGATAATCGGACCAGAAGAATGGAGGGGAATGCAGCAACATCGTTGATGCGTCCTAGGTCCGCACTAGTGCTTCCGAGGTCCCGAACCCACGAGATCTCAAGAGTCTCTCAAAACTATGATTCGCGATCCTCTGCGTCCAACTCCAACTTCAACTCCAACTCCTCCTCCTCCTTCTCCTCCTCCTCCCAGACCGCCGACGTCGTGATTTTGCACGACGTGGGCACCTAGAGGTCTAGACACCGTCCCCAAGGATTGGTTGCTCCTCCCGAGCCGCTTCTCGAGGGTGGCGGGGCCCAGTGGGGGCCTCCAGATGCAGAAAAAGGAGGAGACTAGCCTCCGCGATGGGCTC